CAACTCAGGACTTTAGCTGCAATTCTAGATTGTTTTGTCAACAGATCACATCTGAGGTTGTAATTCAGAAACATTGAAATAATGGTTTGTCAATAATAGGTTCTTTCCACAGTGCCTCACCTGTGCAGTTATGCTGAGACAGTAGATTTTTAGGGTGTACTATGGAACAGATCACTGAACTGATCACTTTTAACCTGGATCAGTCCTGTGGTCAGATTTACAGCTCGGTCTCGTAACCAGTGTATCAGTACAGTTCAGGACAATGTATGACAAGGAAGAAAAAGCAGACATGAAAGGGAGAGAGTGCCTTAAGCCAGCATTGCCACCAAATAATGTGATGATAAAGACTGTCAGCAAGAGACTGCTGCTGTACAGAGAGCCTGGGGGACAGAGGCAGCTTGATGGTTGCTTCCTTGGACCACGTCTATGATGAAGGAAAAGGAGACCTGCATCTTGGCTCAGAAAAGGAATTGTGAATTGAACAGGAAGGTACTGTTTGAAGCTGCTCCTGAATGTAACAGTCCTCATACAGGACATGAAAGATGGTGTGCTATGTCTGACATGTTGTCCCAGTGAAGTCATTGAGAGCAGCTGCCACCATGTTTAGCAGTCACTCTGTAACTTTCAAAGCAAGAGAGCTGCTTGTGAAGAATCCCACCATATCTCAGCTCAGGACAGGCTAGCACTTGTTTCTGGGTCAGTGTCTGGGAAGCTGGAGCAGCTTTGTGTAGGCACGTCAAATCTTACTGAGGATGAAACTTTTCTGATGCTAACTTTGCACTTTGTCACAGCAGCTAAATCTGACGCGTTTGCAGCACAGTCTTGCAGCCTGTCCTGCTCAGAGACTTCTGCTGATAGATACAGCTGACTATAGGATTCTAGCTGAGGTTGATCCACAGCGTAAGGTACTGTTGGAAGCTAAAACTGTGTTTTATTTAACAAGGCCATAAGCTCAAAGTCATTGCAAAAAACTTCATTTCCCAGCACCATTGTAGTGCTGCAACCTGTTGTATGACCTGACAGCAATTAAAAGTATCTTAATGACTGGAAGGCTTTTTCTTGAGAATACCCAAATATTCTGTAATCATCATGGCCTAAGTGGAACTTCTCTGTGCTGTACTGTCTAGGGACTTACGTAGGTTGTGGATAATCAGTGGAACTAGAAACAAATTCTGAAATGTACTTGCAGATTACAATCTTAATAATGCCTGAAAGCATTTTCTAAATGAAATTTGAGGTTATTCTAATTGAAAGAATGTTTAAAATCTAATTTACTGTTCATTTACGTTCTGCATTGCATTCAACTTTTAGGGAAAAACCATACCACTTAACTTCATTACCCTTCATAATCTGCTATACTTTTGGTTGTTCTGTCTGAATCAGTGTTTGGGTAGTATATACTGAAATAAAATGTTAACACTGCCAAGGTAGTACTTTAAGAGGTGTCTGTATTATTGTATGCTTTTAATATTTTTAGCTTGAAACTAAGTTATGAGTTTAGTTAACTACTTTGCTACAGGTTCCTAGGTGGCTTCAACCAGTCATCGCACTTAATACTTTAGTGAAACCCACTTCTGAACAAAGTTGTTCTAGGCATACATACATTAAAGGTAATGAGATGTCACAATACTGTGATAGTGAAAGCTGTATAAATATCCAGAAAATAGAAGTACATTTGACTTTTGAGAATTTTTAAAAAATTAATTTTAATGCAGTTTTCTAAATTAGTGTTTGGGTTTTCATGGCTTGTACTGGATATCATTTGAGAGAGAAATTTTTCATTAATGTTACCTGGCACTATTGATGGTAGCACTGAAAAGGGAAAGTGGAAAGGGAAGAGTGGGCTAAGTGTTCTTCACAGTACAACTTCACAACAGGAGAAATAAATATAGCATATATTTACTTGTTCTGGGTTTTTTTCCTGGCACAATTTTTTTTTTTTTTTTTTTTAATCTAGCTAATTGAGGTTACTTTATTTCTCTCTTCTGCAGTCCTGAGGTGAACTGCCACAGGAGATGAGCCCTCCTTTAAAAATATGAGTGGGAGGATAGAAGGGATGAGGGGAGCTGGGAACTATTCAGAGCTCATCAGCCATATAATTGGACAACTTCGTAAACAGAGCACTAAGAAAACTGGTGCACATCAGTTTTGCACATGTACTGATAAAACATGAACAGTCAATTGTTTGTATCTTTGTAGGACTGCTAAATTATAAAGTCCAGGATTTCAAAGGGTTTAATCCATCGTCTAAATAATATCCTTCAGTTTTGGGAATGTGGTTAATTATGAGTACAGATCTGTTTGAAGTTCTGCCTGGTTTACAAGCTTAAATATTTATTTGCACCTGCCAGGCAGTTAACTACCTCAAATATTATGAGAACATAAAAAGCACATACATAAAGTTGTAGTTGTTACGGATTATATCTGCAGAATTCCTGGCAAGGACTTAGAAGCCATCTTTGAAAAGACTGGAGACTGTAAATTCCTTGGGCAGAAGGATTCTTTATATTGCATCCACCATTTTTATAGCTTTAAAGTAAACTATTCCACATTACAAAGGACCACTAAGATGCGTCCATACATCCAACTATAGCAAAGCAGATCTGATAGAGCTAGAAACAACTTACTCAAGCTCTGGTATTTTGGGCCAGTGAGTTGAAGGCATTTAATTCTAACTTTATTTCCTGGTGTTTGCTTGTTTTTGATCAGAAACTTCAAAGGTAGTCTGGAAAGGAAAACTTATAATTAAGTTAATTTAAGCTTTATATTTGAAAGTTTACTAGGACTTGGGAGGGATTGGTTCCAAGTGATTTATCAAAAGATCCAAATATACATGGTTTGACTGAGCTATATAATTTATCATATAATGCTACTATTTGAATGATCTAAATAGGAGTAAAGAGTAGGTATTTAGAAAGAACGTGTTAATTTAATAATGAGATTCAGTGAAAAAGTTTATTTAGACTTGGGAAGAGCAAAATCTCCTAACAGAAGGTAGGCTGTTTCCAGTCTCTGGTGGTAATCATGTAGCTTTGTATACAGTCTTACAATTACATAAATGAAATTGAGTGTAAAACTGAGCACAGTATGATATTTTTAGGTGACATAAAATAGAACTGCTGGGACCTCCATTGTTTTGGCATTGATTCCTAGCAGAAACTGGTAGGTTTGAAATAAAAATTGTAGAAAATGTTCTATGTCTGAAGTAAATAAAAAAAAAATTTTTTTTTTAAGTATTTTTATCCCCTTTTGCCTACCAGCTTTATTAGGATAAGTATCACAGGAGGAGTGTGGTGTACAGTGTATGAAACTGTAGTATGGGGTTTTTTTACTAACTGCAATTATTTGTCTGTCTGCTCCTTAATCTGAATAATAGTCAATAGTAAGAACCTACACTTCAGATAAAAAACAAAATAAAAATTAAAACTTATTTTTAAAATCCCTGGATCTAGAGACAGAGGAAGATGACTATTTTTAGTGTCCATTTGTAGTTGCTTTCTTAGAATTGTTAGTTTTCTGTGTACTTGAGTTCTCGTTCTTCTTCAGAGGACAGTAAAGATATTCTTAACATGAAAGAAAATTGAAAATTCTTAGAATGTTTGGTAAAATGCATCTGGAGTTGTTTATTGTTACTTTATCATTGCAAATTAGAGGCACTGTAAAATACATGTTGTCAACTCCATCACATAACTTTTTCCGTAGATGCTTTCTCAGTGTAAAGCTGCAAGATTGGAGAATCTTGAATGCATTTCTAAGGTTCAAAGCTTTATTTACCGCAGCAGATTTGCTTAGGTGTGTGTCTTTGCAAAAAGTTGTTCATATGCATTGAACATGCATGTGTTGTGGAGGAAACCGGAAAACTTCTCTTAAGTTGCCCCAGTTGAAGATTTCCTGCAGTTTTTCCACTGGGGAAAATGCCCTACCCTTCCACTGAGACCACACACTGGAGAAGGAGGTCCCCACATTGTGCCTTTCCCACCTACTCTCTTCCCAATAAGTCTTTTCCAGCAGTTTGTTGTATTCCTCTTGTCATTTTGTGGTGTGTCGCTAACGGGCCAAATCTAATTCCGAAGTACTTATAAAAAATTAACAGGCTATTCAGATGAGAAAAGGGAATAGCAACTCTTAGTAACTTGTTAAGTCTAAGAAATAGTGACATAAAAATGAAATAGATTGATAGTTCTTCATAATCAGTTTGTGGAATTCAGTCCCCAAGCTATTACATATTGTTGGGTGAAATGTTTCTCTTTGCAGCCTGTCAGTTGTATTAGGTGTCCTTTTGCAAATGAATGGAAATACTTTCTTTAAACAGCTAAATTTGAGATAAGTAACCAACCATAGTGATATTCGTTGTATAGCAAAATATCATGCCTCCCTGTGATTCGCAGAGCTATTAAACTTTTCCAACCATTTAAGAACGGTTAGAACTGGAGCGGATTGAGTTTCTGAAATTCTTAGTGGCTAAGCAACATTTCATGCCTAGCTGATGGTCATTAACCAGCTCTGTTTTATTTGGTAACAGAAATTCTAAGCCTTTGAAGATCAGTGTACTCTCTTTGGCAATTAACTTTGTTCACCTTAGCTATGAACGTTAGTATCAAAGTGGTTCTTTGCTGTTCTTGTAACTGAGTAAGTGCCTTTATACTTTACTTGTCCCAGTTTCTGCACTTTCACATGACTGACCTAATTAAAAAACAGACAGCTCAATAATTCTACCATAAGCTAGTAATAATGAAACTGTGGGAGTCCTTGAAGCCCTTTATCATTCAAATACACAGTGGTTTCATGAATAAAGTGGATGACTAAGTATTACTTATAGAAGTAAGGGAGATTATTAGCAGTGGAAGACACATTTGAACTTGCTGAAAGGATGGCTTTTGTCTCTGGAAAGACCTACTCTCAGTAATAATTACACTAGGTCTTCATTTTATCCCAGCATTCTCTTCTTGTTCACGCTTTCAGTGACTGAATAGCTTGCTATTGCTTATTAATCCCGACAGGAATGCGGCTTTGGATACGGGGAGGATGCACAGTGCATGACATGCAGGCCAAACAGATTCAAGGAAGACTGGGGCTTTCAGAAGTGCAAGCCTTGTTTGGATTGTGCATTAGTTAACCGGTTTCAGAAGGCCAACTGTTCTGCCACCAGCAATGCACTATGTGGAGACTGTTTACCAGGGTAAGTCCATTTCTGAAGATGGGACTTGAATAAATTCAAAAATAATTTGCATTAACATTTGCTTGCTCATGTTTTCCAGATAAAAGTTTGTATCCTTTCATGTATGTATGAAGGTCCTAGGTTCTAATCTAGACATTGCCAGTAACTTCCTGTGTGATTTGAGCAAAGAATTTCAGTATTGCAGTCTTAATTATCTCATCTATAAAAATGGTTTCATAATTACCTACTTGATCTATGAGAGTATTGTCTATACAGTGCCTGAGCTAAATACTTGAAAATATGTTACTGGTGACTTAGTTCATTGTTATAAAGAATTAAACATTTGGAAATACTCAGAGTTACCTTCTTGAAGACAGATCACACTATTTGCTTGCTTTTTTCCCCCTCTTTAAGTTAATGCCTAATAATTCCCATGCACATATATTTTTAGGTCAAAAGTAGCAGCTGTGGTTTATGCTCCTAAATTTTCTTCAACATGTTGGTAAATTCATAGAGCATGCTCCTGGCTGAGAATCATAAATGGATCTGAAAGAATTGTTTTAGAACAAATTAGAACAGTGTGGATGCTCACTGAAACTGCTGTTACAAATCAAGACCTGTGCCTAGTTTGTTGTCTAGTCATCCCAGATCCCTGTTGCTAATCTTCTGTCTGTAATATTAAGTGTTAAGATCTCTAAAAGGCTATTCTTTACATTGTGGACAAGTTCTGCTATTATAGACCTGCCATGAATTCGTTAAAAGGCATTTCTGATGCTTTTTTGAATTATGGGTTGGTAGTTTAATTGATAGGAGTAGGTTATGAGAACAGATTTGCGATTGTAACAGACTTTGTATTTTTGGAGTATATATTTCAGAGATGCTTAGAAGTTCATACATGTGTTTTCTATATATATCTCAGCCATTTTATTTTATTTATTTTTATATACTTTTAAAAATACTTGAACCAGTATTAAATTAATTTTAATTATATATTTTAGCTATAATGTTATATATTATAACAGGTATTAATTAATTAATATCAAATACCTGAACAGTGTTGAAGCTCCTACAGTTATTCCTCTCAAGCCAGAAGTGAGGTCTTTTTGTTTAAAAACACCTATTAAAGCTTTAGTAACTAATGTTAGTTTAAGTCACAGTGTAAGAAGGTGCAACCCCAGCCATTAGATGTTACTCACAACCACTTTTGATACTACCTGTAGCTACATGGTGGATTGAATTATGCTCTTAGTGCATATTTTTATATATATATTGTAGGGCTTATTTGGCTGTCAGCAGGGAGAAGATGTTCTTCTTGTGGTGTAAACATTATAAGCTAAATTTTGGAAGATGAGAAAGGAACAAAAAAGAAGCCAGAATAAAACATGAATTAAGGATAAATCTAAACTGGGGGACCTGTGAATGCTTCTCATTATTCTGGTCTAGAATCTATTCTAGATAGCTGTGTTGAGTACGTGTTGATATGAGAGCTGTTTCCACAACCTGCTTTTACTGGCAGCAAAGTTGGAATCATGAGGAGGGAGGGAGTCATGGCTAGGGGAGTCACAGGTCATCTGGTCTGGATGTTTTGGGGAACAGAACTGTAGAACACACCACCACTCATATCTGTCCATCGGTTTACGTGCTGCACAAGTGAATTGAGGATATAGCTAGCCAAACCAAATGATTTAGCTAATGTTTCACCTCTCAGCAATCATACTTATTTCTGTCCTGCACAGGTTTCCAACATGCCATTCCTTATTGTTCAGTTTCAAAACACTACAGTGAACATGTCAGCTAAAACCAAATATTAACACATTTAATTCAGAGTAAATGATCACAGTGGCCCCTTTAGTCTTAACAGCCTGTGAATCTGTTTCTGTTCACATTGTTAACGCACGAGTTTCTTGAGCAGTTGGAAAGCTGCTTGCTTTAGCTGATACAGTCTTCATACTGTAATGTCATTTGCACTGTTAGTAGTTTCACATCAGTAGAGTTAGTACTTTTTATTCAATGTGCCACTACATTCACATACTCATCTTGAACAGAGCACATCTGTTGATTCTAGCTTAGTGCTAATGACTGGTTGAAAGACAGACCGACCTACTTGATTAGGGAGCTGTTGTAGATAAGTTCTTTAGAGGATGTCATACTCTTATAGAAATTTGAAATATAACACTAAAGTTCTGGTTTTTCATTTCATTACTCTTGTTCCCTGGTTTAGGAATGTAGGCTTCTGCCTGTCACTGTAGTCAGTAAGCTCTTCAAACATAAACTCAATAGTAAAGTTCTTGAAGGGTCTTTAAACAAAATGTCTCCTTGGGTATGAGAGCCTTTTTTCTATTTTATGTTTTTGCATTCATTTCTTTAGGAATGAGTAGCTGGATGGTTAGTTTGCTTTAGAGTTTTGTTTTATTTTCTTGTGCACTTGTTACTGCTTGTGGCCTCCCATTGCTATTACTTACCTAAACCATCTGACTGATACATTTTTTTCATACCTTGAAATGCTTGCTATCTAGAATCTTTAAAGTATACATTTAAGTGAGAATATGGAAACAAAGTGGAGAATTGTGTAATGTAGATTGGGACTTGTGTGGTCACTTCATTAATGTGCATTCACAGTCCGCACACGTTGTGATTTTGATTAGTGGTGAAGATATTCCTAGAAGAGAAGGAAGAGTCAGGGAGGGATTGTTGGTTTGTTAAAATACAGTTCTGAAAAGCCATTTTGTACTGTTCTGTTGTTCTACAAAACAATCGGAGTAATCTTTTTTGTCACAAAGCATGTTAAAACTTGGGGAGCGGGGGGGGCGTGATGCTCTTCTGTACAAGTTCATAAATGAACCAATTTATGAGTGATTCTGTCTTTCTCTGAGCTAGAGGATATCTTAGGGATTTTAAATAGAAAGCATTGATGTCTGGTCCATTATATACTGTTAGTGGTGATGATCAACTTGTAATATCGTGTTTCTTTTAGGAAAGTTTCATAGATTAATAGTTTACTTTTATTTCTTAAATGTGGAAATAAGCTTGCATAATGTAAGTTCATCATACTTGTTTTGTATGTTGTGATCTATGTGGAAAACAGGATATTGATATCTGTCTGAAATCTCCGGAATTCTTATGTGAATATGAGATTATAGTGATTATGCATTTGGACTAACAGATCTAGAATTTTTCCTCAATTTACTTTAGATCTACTGATGTATTATTAATTAATATCTACTGTACTTTTGTTTATTCTTATTTTCTTCTATTTCCTGATATTTTGCATTGAGACAGAGATGAACGAAAATTTGTAGCTATAGAGGATTTTTTTTAAACACCTGTTTAATTTTGTGAGGAAAAAATAACTGGTTTTGATTAACTGTTTTTTTCATTCCTTTATCTTCCAGATTTTATAGGAAAACTAAGCTTGGAGGCTTTCAAGACATGGAGTGTGTTCCTTGTGGTGATCCTCCTCCTCCCTATGAGCCTCACTGTAAGTGCTGTTTTCCTCCTGTTGGAGTGGGATTAACTTTTTTCCTTTAGAATGTTTTCTTTTTTAACTTGAAAGCTTGGCAAAAAATGACAGTCACAGTTATGACGAATTCTTTTAAAGGCTCATTTTCTCATTAGTAAATTATTTTGTTAATACATTTCAGCAGGTCCAGCACTATTATTGCAAAGCTCCCTCATATGACCAGTCACTTGAGGATAAACATTCCTGTCATACCACATGTTTAAGGAGTATTGACTCCACTTCTGATGTTGTCATATTAATTTTAATTTCTCTTTTGTGTTAATGCCAAAAGAAAGGCAGTCTTCCTAGACCCTCTGCCTACTATCAGGTAGCCCTCAGTGAGTATGAATACTTTCCTGACACCCCAAAGGGGTAATTCGTTGATACCTTTAAAAATAACTTACGTTATGTTAAATGTACTAAGGTTACAGTGCGAGAATAGAATAGATGGATACCTTTACATTTGTCATGGTTTAACCCCAGCTGGCAACTAAGCACCATACAGCCACTCGCTCTCCTCCTGCCCGCGCACCCCTAGCAGGATGGGGGAGAGAAATTGAGGGGGAGTAAAACTCGTGGATGGAGATAAAGAGAGTTTAATATGACAGAAAAGGAAAGGAATAATAATAATAATGATGATGATGATGATGATGATGATTAAAGAATATACAAAACAAGTGATTCACAATACAATTGGTCACCACCCACTGACCGATGCCCAGCTAGTTCCCGAGCTGCAGTCACCACTCCTTGGCCGACTCAGTTTATATACTGAGCATGACGTTACATGGTATGGAATATGCCTTTGGCCAGTTTGGGTCAGCTGTCCTAGCTATGCCCACTCCCAGCTTCTTGTGCACCTCCGCACTGGCAGAGCATGAGAAGGTGAAAAGTCCTTGACTTGTTGCTAAGTAGTGCTTATACTAACTAAAACATCAGTGTGTTATCAACATTATTCACATACTAAATCCAAAACACAGCACTATACCATCTACTAGGAAGAAACTTAACTCTGCCCCAGGCAAAACCAGGATGATAGTACTATATACATCAAGAAGGAAATGAGTAATCAGTTTTTCTATTTGTTTTTGGCCAATGAGAGGTTTAGAAACTCTTTAAAAAGAGAGAACCTCTTTATTCTGCACAGAAGCCTTTTTACTACTTCTTCCAAGACTCTTGATGGTCTACATCCCATCAAGTTTTTAAAGCAATAGGAGTGAATTACTCTTGTTGCATTTATTGCTGTCTGCTTTATAATATGAAAAATAAGATTGATTTGACATAATCTTGTGGAAGACCTTGGGTTTACTTGTTTGTTTCTGTAATTGTGAAGTTATGTTTTGGGAAGGTGTTTTTCCCCTATTGCAAACAGAAACAATTGTCTATAGAAAGAATGAATTGTAAAGTTCCTGAAGTGCTTCATGGTACTTTAATAAGGATGTGTTGTTTCTTATAAACATTTTTTCTTTTTTAACTGTGCTAAATTAAAATATAACCAAGTATATGCTATCGTGCGTTAAAATCGTACTTGTAAATAGCTTTATATTGTACTAAATCTAATGAAATAAGGATTCTTCAGCATTTCATATATTGCTTAGATAGTTGTTTATCAAATGAGCCAAACTTTCTTGTTTTGCTTCTGTTCTAGTTTTAGTGCCTTTTGGGGAATAAACTTACAAAACTAGATTCTCAGACAGTATATTTAATAGTAAAGTTTTTATAAATGTGGCTTCCTGTACATTTCTGTTATGGTTTGAGAGAATTTCATTATATACCTCTGAAACAGAATAATTTTAACTTTTACTAAAGATTGCAACATTGAAAACTAGTAAATCAGATTTCTATAAAAATAATAAGTTACAATGTTTGTGGCAGTAAGTCCTCCTTGTGTATAAAGTAAGACTAGAAAGTAAATTCAAAATTTTTCAACTATTTTTGTAGTGTAGACAACATAATATCTAAAAGTAGATAGAGAAAGTATGTTCTTCATAGCAAACATTATGGGGTTTGATGCCAAGAATGAAATGCTGATCATACTGGAGCAAATCACTTCAAATTCAATGAGTTGCAGAAGGTATTTCTAGGCAGCATTTGAACCCAAACAGGCAATTTCATATGTACATTTATTTTAATCCCCCCAGTTATCAAATTAAGTATTATCCTCTTCATTTGTCCTTACTCTCTTTTTGTCTACAAAAAAAGAAAGTTAGTGAAATCCAAAGTGCAACAGTATTATTCTGATCTAGGATCTCTAACTCATGCAGTTTTTCCTCTTTTCTTGTATGTTCCCTTCTTCTACGAAAGCATGCTATTCAAGCATGAATTCTGCTCTCTGGCACAATTGAAGACAGGGAAGAAATTACCTCCCTTATCTTTCCACTTTGACTGTAGTTAGTGACTTATATGCATATTTCCATCTTTTTCAAAATCACAATTTTTTATTTTTAAAAGATGGTGAAAGAATGGTTACCAAGTCTTCTGATATAACTCAGAGTTGTTTAAATTATAGTGATTTGGCTTTTGTAATTGAGCCTAAGCTTGGATCCTAAATTGAACCATTAGGAAGCTGCAACTAATTTTAAGTGGGCAACAGACAACCCCCGTGGAGAAGAGGATTTTCTCTGGCACAAGCTGCAATGATAAATCCAGATTAGAGACTTTTTTGTTCCCTAATCTCATGGCTGTGATAAAGCCTTTGGCTAAATAACAAGTGTTAACAGTTGCTGGTGGCAAGTTATGAGAATTGGCAAGTATTTCCAGCTCTTACAGAAGCAGTTACAAAAAGTTTGAAATCATTAAAATGTTCCTTAATTACATACTAGCCAACCATTAAAATCTTAAATAATGGAAATCCTACAATGAAGTATGGTTACCATATGTCACTGTGGTTTTCAGAAGGCTTTTGCTTGGAATTTGTATATTGGTTCTTCAGGTCTCTAAATAAGCTGTCTCAGTTTAGGAGAGTGTACGTGCATTCCTCAGAATGAGAAAGTTATTCCTACAATAGTAGATAAATGAACTGAAATCTGTTTGAGTTTTACTTATCAAATAGGTGGGAATACCTCAGTTTTAAGACTTAAGTCAAAAACGTGGTTCTACAAGGAAATATAAATAATGGTGTGTGAAAGCAAGCTTTTTCCACCTAATGCTACAAATGTTTGGTGTTTATTTCAATAATGAATATATTTTGATAGTTAAGATGTTTTAAGACTGCATTGCTTGAAGATAAATGGAGAGAGATCATTAGGTGTATGGGGCAAGTCCTCAATGAACAGAGGACTAAGTTCTAATTCTCTGCCTTTCTTATTGTTCTTTCTTTCCACTGTGAAACAGAAAGTCAAATATTAGTGCAGCAAACTCTTATATTACAGATGAAAAGGAAAAGTTTAAATGTCCTGTTTCAATGAATTAATTGTCCTGTGAGGTGTGTGGCAATCTTTTGTTTGTTTAAGAACTTTACCAGAAGGGCAGAAAAGCTCATAGCCCCCTACCTGGACTAAAGGTTCATGTTAAAGCTGAGACATAGGTGAAGTTCTTTCAGCACTAGTAGCAGTTGATTATTACCCAGTTAGCTATAAATCTAAATACTTGCTTTTATCTTCTTTCTTTCTGTAGACATTTTAAAACAGATCTGGTTTAAATATTTACTCATGAAAAAATGAGTTTGTGAATTGCTAGAGGCAAAGTTGAAAGGATTCTATAATGAACAAGTAAAGAGAGTATTAGGGGCCAGGAGAATTGCTATCACCTTTGTGTAAACTTTAACGGGGACACAATGACTTACGTGTGTTTTGGGGATGTCAGAAAATTAAATACATAATGATATAGTTATATTTTAATTTGCTTAGTAAATAAACTGTAAATACCAATCCTATATATATAGGGTCAGCACCTAAACATTAGATTAGAAATGAAAGAAAGTTTTTCAAATTACTATTTATGTTCACTTTGTAAACTGAAGACATTTTTCTCACCTGAAGACTTTTTTTTCTCAATTGAATGACAGAAAAGGTGTCCTTTGAACTGGGAACTAGAGTGAAAACCCAATCAATCATAAATGTAATTTCTGAAATGGAACATAGCATAGACTGTCCCAAACTGGTGTCTGTTCAGCAGAGAAACAGTGATGTAGATACGGTTCAATGATTCTTTTTTCTCAGCACCAATTTAAGGCTTGCAGAGTTCAGTCTCCTGTCTGCTCAGGCCAATGTTGTGCTGCCCCAATTGTTAAGCTTAAACTGTTAATGAAACTTCTCAGTAAGCTAGATTGTGAATCTTTCTATGGTATAAAAAGAATTAAAATAACTCCCTTCTTAAGGTTACTTTTAAATGTAATGAGTTTGTTAACCCCAAAACACTTGTAGTGGCACAAGTGAAGGAGAGATGTGGAAAAGGCTGGGGTAAGAAGCAGAAGATTTTCCAAAGATACCATTGCTTACTTTGAGCAAGCATTATGTTTTCAGCTAGTCTGTCTTGGCAAATAAACAAAATGAAACATTAGAAACCATACTCCTTATCTTCTTTTGGTCATAAGAAGATGGCAGATTAAAGCAATAGAATTATTTTATCAGCTTGGCTGTTTCAGCTCTTCCTACAAGTGGTTCCTGTTGTATTGTTCAATTCAAAATGCAGAACAGTATCAGCCACCAGAATCCTTTGGCCTCGGACAGGCTTTCTACCAAGCAGAAGGACCTGTGACATTGAACTTTTTAGAGATGTATTAAAAAAACAGTTCCTAGCACTTCCACATTACTGTTCCTTTCTGGACCAATCTACAGGCAGTGGCGTTCCCCTGTTATGTCCAAATTCAGTATAGAATTTGTCTGTGCAAACATTTAAATTGGAATAAATTGTGGGAGACAAGGAAGAGAGGAAATGAACGCCTAGTTGCCAAGAGCATTTTACAGCCAAACCACCACCAAAGAAACAGTGTTGTCCTTTTTTTTTTAATTATCTGCACTATTTTTTTTAATAATTTT